CACTTAGTTATCTTCTCATGTTTTAATTCTTTCATCTAGCTCATATTAAGCTTTAAGGCATATTAAGCTCTATTAAGATTTATTATTATTTATTATTATCATCTAGCTCATATTAAGCTTTAATTCAACTGGCCTTTCACACCAGGCCTAAGACAGGTGTTTCCTAAGAATATTCAGTTTTGTCTCCTTCTGTATGTTCCCATTGTCTGAGAGCAAGGATTTTAGATCAGTATAACTGTAAACTAAACTATTAGCATAGAAACGTTTTTGTAGGGTTTTCTTAAACGTAAGGTCAAAATCTTGACCAGTTTAAATATGATATTCCGCAACCGGGGAAAGAAGGAAAGAGCTGCTCTCAACTTCAAAAGCAATTCTTGTATGGCGAAACATTCTTAAGTTTCTTCTCTTCTAAATTCTTTCCCCAAAGAAAGCGCAAAACATCTGTGCCCTCTTTACAAATACTTCTTTGCATTAAAGTTTTTCTTGATATCTGTTGCGATGCCAAACTTCTCTCTAGATCGCAATACAGAATACTTAGAATTAATACGATGAGGTTTGGCCCTCACTGCAGACACTGGTTTAAAGTTGATGACGTATCAAATGCTGGTTGAATGGAAGTACTGGTTTATTTTATGATAGGTCTATGAGTGAAGTAGCACTCATACAAAATCACTTCATTTGGAGAGACCTCCTCAATGACTCTTTTATCAAGCCATCCCCCCCCCAAAAAAAATTCTTAATTGTCACACAAGAGACAAGAGTTTTGCAGTTATAACTTCAAGTAATTCCTAAGAGAGGCTAAACGTGTCTTTGAAACTATCCAGTGTAATACTGGCGAATAAATTGTGTTTTGATTCTTCATCAAGTGTTATTGTCTATTACTTCAAATCCACGAAGCCGTAAAACGCAATAGTATGAATTGTCTTCTTGTTTATGGCGATGTATCAAATTATGTTCCCAGCTACTGGAAAAACATTGACGAGCAGAAATTGGGGTAACAATAACAAATGTTTCTTGCCACTAATGAAGATCGTCGAAAGATTTTTTACGTGTGAGGTATGTATGACGTCGTTCCATAGTATCCGGCGATTTATTCTCGTAAACATGTTTTTGAATACTCTGAGTGAAGCTTTCAAATTCAGCATTTTGGTTTTATAAGCTATTTTAGATAGAGATGGGTGACAAAGTTCGTTTGCTTCAACTGAACTATGCCATACATTTATGTCGCTGATGATTAAGCTATATTTCAATTTTAAAATACGCGCAATGAAATACCTAAAAGTTATTACTTTTGAGTATAAAAATTTGTCAGTTCCGTTAGAGTGATCTGGTATAATTTGAGGAAATAAATGTCTAATTTAATCAAATGATGTTCATGAAAGACAATTTATTCCAAACTTGGGCTAGAATATTTCAGTTAACTTTAAAGTGGTTAGTATTAATTTATAAACGAAGACATATAGGACAGAATGGAGCTATTTAGATAAAATTGATAAATATTAAAAAAAATTATTGATACTTAACGTTTGCGAATATTTGCATTAGTACGCGATATTCCAATAAATTATTGTATAGTAATAGCTCAGTATATTTTACATCAATGATATTATTTATGTTAAGAAATACACAGATTAATTTCGGTTTGCCAGAGATGTGTTATGATTTTTAAGTAAAATTTATTTAACTATTTGATTCACTATTTGGTTGCAAAATTATAAAATGATTATAAGATTAACTATTTTACTGTAAGAAATATTTGAACGACACAAGTTAATTCTTAAAATTAAGCAAAACAGCAACCTTTTGTTTGGCGTACATTTTAATCAAAACTCTGTCGGTTTCGAGGGCGTTCAGTCCCTCTTTGCGAGGAGCAAAACAATTCTGCAAAGAAGCTGTAGTAGTCCAATAATCAAATGGTTATGCTTATGAAGCCAAGAAATTTTGGCCTTTATAAGCATCAAATATTGGCCAAATATCCAGTTGAACTATCGGAATCCACCACCAATAAAAACTCGAGATTCAATTGTAGCACTGCAGTTCAGATTTGAGCAAAGCCGAGTAACACAGACTAGGTAGGCTGCCATTACCGACAGAAATTCTGAGTTCTTCTTAAAATCTGGGTCTGTCTGGTCTAATCGATTGAATTTTATAAAGGAGTTCCAATCAAGTTCAGTAGTTTAGTGGATTCTACAAAATCTAAAGTCAAGGATGGATTAGTCGAATGGATTCTACAAAACTTGAGGTCAAGTCTGGAGCAGGAGCTGATTCTATAAGAGTGCAGTTGTCCCAGAGAGACCGAGCGGATGCAGAACATTATTTATAGGGATGTCTTTTCTTCCGTGAAAAGTGCTGAGAGAATTTCTTCCTAGAGTATAGAGATATACTGTGGCTCTGTTCCTTGTGTCCTTGGACCGGAACAGGATCTTGATACCTCTCTGCAACGGAACAGGCTCTCAAGTCCGAACCTACTCTTCTTTTATAATCTTCAAATTTGTATTTTATGAATAAACCTCTTATGTTGTTCCAGCTGACGTCAGGCCGAGGACAGAAGATGCGGGGAGATGAAGATGAAATTTTATATCCTCTTTGGGTACTGTATCTATACTATCATCATTCACTATTACTGTTTTCGGAGTGTAGCTTCAGATAGTTGTGAGATCCGGACGATACCCGATTAATCTATGTAAGCCGTCCGGACCTGCTCTCACCTGTCACCTGAAATTATCATTGATTTTTATCGTTTTTGTGGGTTTCGTTTTCTTCGTTTTCCGTTTTTTTCCCATTCGCTTTCTGAACCCACGTCTTCCTGCATAGCAGTATCAGAGTTCTTGGAATCATCTTTACTGTTCAGGTTTTCTTTCAGATATTCTTTTACAATTTATTTTAGAAAAAACATATTCTTAGGATTTATAAACGAAGACATATAGGACAGAATGGAGCTATTTAAATAAAATTGTTAAATATTAAAAAAAATTATTGATACTCAACGTTTGGGAATATTTGCATTAGTACGTAATATTCCAATAAATTATTGTATAGTAATAGCTCAGTATATTTTACATCAATGATATTATTTATGTTAAGAAATACACAGATTAATTTCGGTTTGCCAGAGATGTGTTATGATTTTTAAGTAAAATTTATTTAACTATTTGATTCACTATTTGGTTTGTGTGTGCCCTTTCGCGTTTCCAAACCTTTGAGGATTTCTCTTTCAAATTTTTCACAGTTTTTCTTCCTCTGTTATCTGCTGCATCAATTTTGTCTCGCCTGTTGTCCTCTGATTGTTTATTTTTATTTATTTATTTATTTAGCAATTTTATAGATGGACGGTATTCGGTACCAGTCAGTACATCTTTTTAAGTAGAAGCGTTCTATTTAATGAAGTTTTTTTCAGGGCGAACTTATTTGTAGTATTATCAGACACGCAGAGGACCAGTTCCATGCCCGTTTCTTTCGAGTCTGGAAAGTCCAAAAGGGAAAAAGTAGCATTTCAGCAGAAAATACTCTAGTAAAAATACAATTCATGACAATTAAAAGCACAAGTCACGAAAGTGCGAAAATAAATTAGCATTTCAATGCACGCTATAATCAGCAAAATCTATGATTCTAAAAGGCATGAGGTACACATTTAAATCTAACGTCTACTTAGTCAATGTTGAAAAACACCTTGTAGGAAAGGTCTTCAAAGAAATGATGAATGTCGATAATGTAGTAATATATATACTTTCTTCGGCCGCACATATATTAAAATTGGAACGATGCAGAGAAGGTTAGCAGGAAAAGAAGGGGGATGAAGATTGTATTAATACCAAAAACAATGAGACGAACAAACCGAACACAAGCTTAGCACCATCTGGTCAGGTAAATAGTAAGGGAACAAGAACAAATAAGATGTTAGAATTTTAAAAGAGTGCGGAAGGATTGAATTGTAATTAATATCACAGCTATACAAGATAAATTTTTGTGAATATAAAAATCTTCAAGGAAATCCAATTCACTAACAGAAGCTTTATGGATAATTTTCCCACACCCAAAGTCAAAACTGGGATTAAAGTTCTAACTATGATTAGCTATCAAGTATTTATTTTCTCCTTTTTGAATGTAAAATTTGTGTTCTTTGATGTGAAATTCGACGAAGAGGAATCTGCGCTTGATCACTATCAAAATCGGAGTTTGTGATTATATTCCAAACACAAAGTTGATGTTTTGTTTAATTTTAAGTTTTTACCTTGTTTCTCTTCCCGCTCGACAAATTAACTCTTCAAGCTGAGAAAATGCTTAGATTGTAAAAAATACCAATCCAGACTCATTAAATTGCATCAGACTGAGCATTTCCATTAATCTTTAACATTGATGTTGCTTTAAGGCTACAAGTGTTTTAAGAAGTTCTTTGTTCTGGACCTTTGTAAGCAATATTCTTTTCATCCTTCCCATAATCAATTGCAAAAATGTTGCATCGAAACACCGCCTATTGAGGTTGAACTATCATTTTAGTAAACTTTCATCTACTCTACAAGTGTAACTTGCTGCTACACGTTCACCGCCATCTTTACCTAAAGATATAATCTCGACCAGGTAGATGTCTCTCATTTCAAATGAAAAAACGTTTCAGGTTTAATACACCAATCATCATGTCCTTCTACAGTATACAGTAACACATTCCAAATACTCTTGCAGTTATATTTTTAACTCTTGCATATCGATATTTAAAATCAGATAACATGAAGTTTTTTAATATGTAACATGTTTAAATTCTTTTCACTCTTCTTTTCTTAAGTATCACAATACCTCACATCTACAATAATTTTAATTACAACTTGTTGTGAAACGCAAATTTACACAGAGCGAAAAAACGTGACATACTGGGGTCATGAATAAAAATATATAATACCTAATTAAAAGTTGATGTTTTATGGATGAGGTAAGAAGGTGATAGTCAAAGCTTAAGAGAATACAATGGGAATGTAAGATCAAAACATGAAATAAAGAGACTAATATAAACAAATAAAAACTTTTAATGTAAAAACAAGTATACTAAATAGCCAGCAATTTTAACCGTTTATGGATATCAGCATCAAATATTTTTATCACATTTCTAATGAATGAATAAATCGTTCCATTTCTTCGACACAAAAGCAATTAAAACTACAGGTACTACTTGTTTCGGCTATAAATTATGCATGAGCATAAAATGAAATTTCTGAAATGAGTTGAATAACATACGACATGATGATGTGAAATAACACTTTGCAAATATCTTCCTTTTTTACACTGCGAATACATTTAAACCAAACATTTCATTTAAAAAACGTCACTTTACTTAGCTTCAAAATTAATATTAATCTCATTAATAAAAGAAAATTGTCTGTTGAACTGTTTATCAGGAATGTAATTAAAATACATTTTAAATAAATAAAATAAATAAATAAATACAAAAGCTCATATCCGTAGCTGCAGTGTCTTAATATTGGTAACTTCGTAAAACTTAGAAAAGATCGATCAAAGTGATCCCTTTGTTCCCATGAAGCTAGCGTTGATCCTGAAAAAAAAAGAGAAAAGAAACTGCGATAATATGGTAATATTTGAAACAAGTAAGTACATGGCATCTATAAATATATGCCTGATGTTAATTGTTTAATCTTTTCAAAATAGCTAAGCGTCATCATTATTCTTAAGTAGGTTAAACAGAATGCAGTAACGAATTTAAGTTTTGATTAAACTTAAATTTTCACGTGCTGAAATTTCTGATGAGAACAGTGCAGGTATAATTATGGCTTTCCAATTGCAATTAAACGTGATTTAAGAAATTGATTATGCAGAATTAAATCGTCTTCAGAACCTTGGATTTAAGTACTTATAGTTTAAAAAGAATAAGCGAGAAGAATTAGGAATGTTCAAAATGCTGTCTGGTTTTAAGAATAAATGTTGAATAGCTGATTTTGACGCTGACCTGCAGACAAGCTTAAATTGCAAATAAATTTTCTGTAACTAATCATTCACTGAATTAAAAATTGAAGCATTTTGACACGAAGATTTGTGTATGTCTATTATCCTGCTGTAAAGTTTATTTTAACTAACACGCTGTTTTATGTTAACTCCTCTTGTAGCTTCTGTTTCTTCCCTCAGTCTTCACCAAAATGTAAATTAATTGGTGTTTAGAGGATATGTAATATATAGAGACTACTTTCACTGCGCATTAAAAATAAGTTTATTTCGTAAGTCATCCATTTACTCTACGCTCTAATTTTAGTGAGTAATTTTTGTATTTGCTAGCGTTGAGAGTTAGTCGCATTAGCTAAGCACAGTTGATTAGAAACTGAAGTTACTTGTGTTGTATACATTTAAATACTGATATTGTTTTAGCCTGTAAGAAGAAGAGGGTAAGCTTCGTTAAATTTTAGTTGCACTGCGAGTACTTTTAATACATATTTTAGTTACGTTTCAGCTTGGTTCATGTTGTTAGAGTTCTAGACTTTTATTTACATAGGCAGATTCAAAGAAATTTGGACGTATATACTTTTAAATAAACATAGAATTATCTGAATGATTTATTTTTCATTACTCTCTCTTTAGACTTCAACACACTTTTCACACCGTTTAGTAAGTAACTCTAGGCCCCCCGAAAAAATAATTTGAGGGTTCGCTCTCAAAGCTACTGCTCTTTACACGCCATCATCATCATTAATCCACTTTCCACGAAGGTCCAATTTCAGTTTGGAGAACAGATGATTATCGCTTGCAGCTAATTTGGTGTGGGTAGTGATTGATTAATCTCCTCAAACAGACATTTTTTTTAATTTATTGGCTAGCAATGGTTGCTGAGTGCAGAACAAATTAACTCTGTTTGTCAGCGTTCTACACCTTTAATTTTATTGTGCAGCTTATGAAAAAGCTGCATAATATTCCTCATCAGTGGCTGCGTTTCTTCTATTAAGATCTATCTACAGGATCCTAGAGGGTCCCTTGACAGTACCAAATAATTTTTCCCATTTACCATTTTCGTAGATTGTTGCTACAGCATTCAACCAGTATTTCAAACAGTTGCAACACAGAAATTACTACTACATATAGTATTTATCAAGGATTATGACTTAAAAAATAATGCAAAAGGCTTTTGTGACAATAAAAAAGGCTGACCGGTGATCGAATGGCTGAAACCGCAAAACACTGATAAGTACCTTTGGTCCTGATGCGGCCAAGACAGGACAGGAGAAAATGAAGAGTATGTCAGAAATTTACAGTTAAGTGCACAAGTATATTCCTGTCGCAATACGTTAGAAAGAGCTGAGTGCATGACGTTTCCTTAGTTTCCTCAAGGAAACTTCTTCTATGAAGGAATCACTTCTGACGGGCAGATGGCCTTAGTGTGCTTAGCCATAAATAAACATTGCAATCCAATATAGTATAAAGGTAACGAAAAATCAACTGTTCATAGCAGTTTCAAATTGAATCCAAATAAATATTGGTCAAAACAGAGTTTACAATAATAAACTAGTTCTCATTTGAAAGCGTAAAATGCTTACGTTTGGATAACCTTGTGCTGATTTCAGGTTTTCTAATTGAGAAACCTTAGAAATCATCTGTGCCTTGGCTGGGACTCAGGGATGGCGAACCTTTCTGGATTAGTGTGCTAATTAAATGACGATTTATTTTTCAGGTGTCCAGTGTGCCACTTATTATATTTCTTTATAATAACTTAACTTATTATATTTCTTTATAATAACTTAACTTATTATATTTCTTTATAACTTTAAACCCATGCTTTGATTTTAAACTATCGAACAGTTAATTTGTAACTATATTTGCTGTTTACTTACTAATGGCGCCCATGCTCCTGTTCGTTTCTGAATACGCCTTTGTTGGTCACTAGCCTAAAGAACAGTTTTTCTCTTTTTTTAATTGTTGTTTTCAGTAAATGCAAGCGAATAAAAGCAATTTAATATACACTTGTAGCATGCCACGTAGTGGCACGCGTGCGATAGGTTTGCCATTTCTGCTTGGACTCGAATTACGAAACTTTCAAATGCTTACCTGAACGTGCAACCAATTGCTTCACGAAAGCACATGCACAGTAGCGCTATAGTTCTCTACCAGATAAAAATGATGCTAGCTAACTGCTGCTATAACATTTTTTGATTTATTATTTGTTTTAATAAATTTTGTACCTTTTAAACTGAATAATGTAAGTAGGTAAAATTAAAATAGATGGGATCCACCAACCTAAATGTAATGGTTTAATATAAGCTTACACCTTACATGCTTATTAAATTCTGATGTTGTAAATTGACTTTTCTTTCGGTTGTAATAATTCGGAATATTTTATATGACAAAAATATCGTCTCAGATTCTAAAAAATTCGCATTGTCACAACATCTTATATTAGAATTTTGATGCTAAGGAATCATGAGTTATTCACAATGTACTCTCAAAGAACAGACCTTTTTGGATAATAACATCAACCTAAAATATCCTTTTAAGCACGTTTAAGATGTTTTATTCAATACTGTCAAAAAGTTACTGATTTTAGCTTCAATAACCTAACTAAGAACATGAAGAGATTCCTGCACCGCCAGTAAAATTCTTCTTCCCAGATGAAGACGTACAGCTTTAATCTGACACTCCATCAATCGAACTTTTCTTAGTTATTTATTGAAACCCTTTCGTGGAGTAATTTCTACCTTTTGAATAGTTTATGATATTAATATCCAAAATATGTCCTAACTTCTCAAAGCATAATGGACAGATTGGCAAGTTCAGCTCAAATTCTGAATAATTTCCCTATTCGCTAAAATTTGTGGCTAAGTGTAGCACATATTCTACCATTTCAAAAGACAAGAAATGTTTTTCTAGTTTCGAAAGAAAAGAAATGTTTTTCTAGTTTCGAAAGAAAAGAAGACTTATATCAAATACAGAAAGTGAAAGTACTTTCCATTAAGATTGTTGAAGTAAGTGTAAAAAGCCTTTGAAAGTTCAATATCGAAATGCTAAAAAAATACGTTTTGCAATTCAATAAATTATCACATGTAGTCTTTTTGATTTAATTATTTTTTATTAAAATTTACTATACAGGTAAAAGGCCCTTGAACATTCAAAGCTGAAATGATACAAAATTACGGTTTTCAAATTCAAGAAAATTACAACATGTAGTCTTTTTGGTTTACAGAAAAAAAGCATGCTTGATTTACGTTTGAATGTTTTATTTAAAGAGAAGAAAATATACAATGAATTCTTTCGAGGCTATTGCTTCTGAGAGTGAACAGTTTTGCTGATAATTTACATCTGAATATCGGAAAATGAATGTCACTCTCTAAGGAAAAATCTTCACAAAAGACTGAAATTATCTGAAACTTTTAGTGGCTGTCTTAGAGAAGATTCATAGCATATTTACAAAATTAGATTAGTTTCACTAGTTGTTATGGGGTTGCTACTTCTATTTCACATTTTCTAAATTTGCAATGTGCTTAATTACTTTTAAAAGACAAATGTAACTATTCTTTCCTTAAACTTCTAAATTCATTTCTATAACTCCATTTGACAAGGAAAGCATTTCAAAGAATATAATCATATGCTTTGTTTAAGCAAAGAATTCAAAATATTTAAAAGCAACAAAAGCTGATGATTTTCATCCAAAACCGAAAACTAATTATTACTTGAACCAATTTTGGTTGGATAACGTTTGTGATAAAACTTGAAAATAATCTTTCTAAGAAGAAAATATTTTATTGAAGCTTTCTAAAAGAAACTAGTTGTGTTTATGTCTTTCATTCGGAAAACCATTAAATTCTCCAAACCAGCCCCTTTATTCGGCAAAACACTAGACCCGTGACAAATTAACAGCGGATTACTACACCGTCCTTGTGACATACTAATTTTCGCTTTTATCACCGAACGATAAAATCTCATTAAGCTATTCATAGCAACGATTTTGATCCCCCTGTGAGCAAAGAAGAGTTTGTTACTCTACTATGTAAACTTCTGAACAAATTCATTATAATTTCGTTCGACTTCTTTTTTCTTATGATGCATGAGGGAATTTAGATAGTCCAAGATGAGGAGTAGGTGTTAGAAACAGAAAATGCATTGTGGAGAAACAAGAGAATCTAAACTTCAGTTTATCTCATGCAACCGAAAGAAAAGATGATTAATATTGTTCTCCTCATAAAATATCGATGCAAATATTTTTATACATTTAATGCATCATTATCAGTTCCTCTTCATGACGACACCGCTCCACCTCATCGCACAGTTGCTGCCGAAGAGCTGTTGGAGAACACATGGATATACCGGCAAGGTCTCTGGATCTAAATCCCATTGAACATATATGGAACTTTCTAGGCAGACGCGTGGCAGCACGTAACTTATCTCCAGTAACGATTCTGCAATGATGTTATGTTATGGATAAGTGAGGGGCACCTAATATTTACCCTAAGTAAGCAGGTATTAGCCCCACACACTAACTAGAAAACTAACAACATTCTGGCACCATTCCTCCAGTCGTGATGAAAATTGTGACTCCAGTGAGCACTATAATTCTGCAAT